AGCAAGTTCAGGAGCTGCGAAACCCTACAACATATTAAACTCGGTCAGTGGAACACGCAAGTCGAAGCGGGATTACCTTTGGGTACTTCAAGCAATGAAAGGATTTCCTCTCCGAAAAAAAATAAAAATTTCAGCACCTTCACAGAAAGTGTCACTGCGACGGGGACTCCTTTTGGGGGGAAAGTCCTTCAAACAAGCAATTTTAGCCCTCGCCCGCCCCGCCGGCACAATGACCCCTGCGGGGGCTCGAGGGAGCTGAGCCCTTCGGGGCGGCCCCAGCAGGCACCTCCCGCCAAGCGCCGCTGACCTCCGACGGGAAGCGTGTGTGAAGGGCTCGGCGGGCACCGGCGGGGGGACCCGGCGACACAACGACAAAAGGACAGGGCTGGACAAGGCAGGAACTCAGCTCACACTGGGCTCCGCTTTCGCACGCCGCGCTTCGGCCCATATGGAAAGATTACCTCGTTTGAAGACCCTGCTCTGAAAACCAGGATCTCGGAAATGAAGCCAACGAGGTGCCTGGGTTTGGTTTGGTTATTTTAATGCAAATGCCAACCTAAAACGATTAACATTAGAAGAGGTTAAAGACCAACAAAAACCACTAGTTAGGACTTGATTGTATACCACGTATAAACCGGTTTGAGAATTTCTTTTTCCAACTACTATAGAAACCAACAGAAAGACAAGGTCGTCTACACAGTGTTTTAGGAATGGCTCGGTATCGCCAGTACAAACACATATTTTTAAAATTGCACATTTGTAAAAATAACCAAAGAAATGATAGGTTTATAAATATTTATTGTAAAAAAATTCAAATATTAAAAATAAATAGTATGTTCAAACACACAACAGCACGTTCCTTCATTACCAAACGGGATGAAGGAAAATATGGAATATAAGAAGTCTGAAAAGAGATACAACATATCAACATTGCAAATGTTTTTGCAAGCTACATTTTCAGAGACGTTTCTTCTCTGTACAGTTCACATGTGGTAGATTTTCCCATAAATATGACAAGATCCGGGATTAATAATAACAATAATAATAACAACAATAACAATAATAATAATAATACCCATTCCACTGCAGTTTGACTCGGTCTTTACTCAGGAAAAGTCCCATTAAATTAATGGGGTTGCTTAGAATGGCAGGATTCAGATCATTCTGTAGCAACTAAAATAGAAGATGAGTTACAAGGTCAAGGAATTCGTTTTACAAACAGAGCATTTAATGATCTCCAATGAGAAACTCCTAAATAAGCCCTTAGAAGGGAATGGTTTCAGTCCACACAGTGATGTTTATAAAATGAAGATACAAAAGAGATGTAGTTAGACTATCTTTACACTTACGGACAATAAAACATGGGAGCATATGGAAGCCATCGCTTTGAATGCGTTAACAACTTCGATACATTGCAGTATATACACGCTTAATAGGTATTCGGACTGTTAAAACGATCAAAGCCTTTACTCTTATGTGTGTTCTGTTGCTTTCATTCTACTGGAAAGAAAACGTTTGTTGGTCACATTCTGGTGGCAATGAAGCTCAACAGTTCTTCCTCCCCAAGAGCTGCATTCTGTGCAGCATATGTGTAGGAATAATTTATTAGACAGAAAAGTTCAGAGGATAAAATGCAAAAATGGACATCATTTCAGCTTTTGAGCAGTAAGGTCATACAGACATCTATGGACATCTGTACACAGACAGTTTCACGCAGACACAGACACATATATCCAGATGTATGTCTATACACAGCATTCGATAGTTTAGTATTTTCTGCACCCTCTGGGCCCCTAAAGTTATCTTTAAAAGTTTGATTTTATCTCTTTAGAAACGGTTTAAAGCTAACGGGCAGGGTGAGTTTGACAGAGAGGAGAACAAATCGCTGACAAAGAACCTTTTACGTTTCATCAGCGTTGTTAGGACGACGAGCAGGAATGTCTCAGATAATAACTCCCACTTCAAAGATTTCTCAGCTCAATAGAAATTGGACCATCCTTTTTATTCAACCACAAGGGCTGGCACTAAAGACGACTCAACTGTTTGAAATTTTTTTCATCGTGTTTATTTTTCCCCTATTCACTGGGGTACTTGGATAAAATAAACAACAAGACAATTACTGGAACATGGACTTCTAACTTTCCCGGGCCCATGGTCCAGCGCCCATGGCCCCGGCCGGCTGGGTGTCAAGTTTCGTGCCCCACGGAGGCTGCCCGGGCCTCCGGGGGTGCCAGGGCGGCTGCCGAGGCCCGAGGTCTTCGGGGGGTCGGGGGCGGCCCGGAGGGGCTCCGCTTCCTGTCCTACCTCCCTTCGGAAGGACCGGGGCCGAGGGGTGCAGCGCCGGGGGCTCCGGGGCCGGGTTTTTTGGCCGGGGGCTGGCAGCGAGTGAGGTCGGAGGCCGCAGCCTCCCTTCGGCCTGGGCCGGAGGCTGCAGAGCCCGCCTCGGGGTGAGGGCGAAGCCGAGCGGGCCGCATCCCCGCCGAAGGGCCGGGGGTGGAGGAAGGATGTCCGTAGCGAGGGGCAGATTGAGTGTATTAAGCTAGCATGAAACCAAAGGTCAGTGCAAATGTATCTTAATAGACTGTCTCAAATGGAGTGTGCCTCCTTTGAAGGCCGCTTGCTATTGCTCTCCTCATTACCATAGCGATCCTAACGTGGCATGCTGATGCACCATAAAACTCACACTTTCAACCCCAAAATCAGGCCCTTTGAACAACCCGAGCTTGATTAGACCTTTCTCCTTTTCTTTTCCCCCTTAAAAACCATTTCCTTGCCTTTAGAAACTCGCCCTCAAATCCCAAATGCATTCTCTGATCCCGGCAGAAAGCAGAAACAAAAGTGAGCTGAGGCGACGGTTCAAGCAGGCCTTTTCTTCCTGACATTCTTATCCATTTTTATTATGATCTGGAACAAGTGCCCTGTTCGCGTGGGTTTTGTTTACCGGAAATTAAATGAAAATGATTTAGTTCACGTCAAACAAAAAATATATACTTGTATACACAAGAAAAAGGGCCTCTTAGACGTAAATATTATGTCCTTAATGAAAAGACTGGACGGGCTCCAGACTTTGCCTTTCACTATTTAAGTATGACTTGCCTATTGCCATAGAAATCCTAACTTACCATGAAGATTCACCGTTGTGAAGAAATACTTCTTTGTGCGAGCTTTCTTTGATGTCTAAGGCATAAGATTCAGGCTTTCAGCTGCGTCTGTCTAGATTACCTTGAGAGCAACGGGGTAGACATCTGTAACAAGCAAATGAAAAATTAAAGGTGATTAGCCCGCACATCCAAACACTTGTGCAAAAAGTGAAATAAAGAAATAAACAGATCTCAGGACAAGACGGAAACATCCTCCCTGCCCGCAGCTGCCTCTCCTACCTTTTCATTTCAACAGCACAAGTTTCAGGGGCTGCAGGGCCGGAGGGCAGCACTCGCCCCCCAGTTTGGGCTCCTCTCGCATTTTTCTCGACTGGGTGAGTCGCTGCGTGCCCCTCCCGGCACGGACACACCGATGCTACCACTCGAGAGAAATGAACGGGGCGTAAAACCCCAAAAAGTTGAGCACTTCGTGCGCATGAGGCAGGGGACCCCGAGTTAGTGCCTCGGGAGGAAAATTAAGCTGCAGCAGGGGGGATGAGCTCTCTGCGGGGGTGTTTGTGCCACTGACCGGCTGTTTATTTTCCTCCAGCTTTTACATTTCTGGATGCGAATATACACATCTGTATATCCGTGTGCACGAGCGCTTGCACACACGGCAGCCCATCACCTGGGCTCAGAGGTGGTGCACAAGGGGAGAGGAGAAGCGGCTCCAGCGGCCTTCTGCCTGCACGGAGCGAGCCGTGGAAACCTCCTCCAGCAGCCCCGGCTATTTATTTGCTTACCTGCTATTCTTAAACGTCATTAAATTAATTAAAACGGCACCATTCGGCAGTTTATAGCTACCCCACCGGAGGGTTTTGTGATTTTTTTTTTCCCTTTCTTTCTCTCTCTCGTCCAGAGGAGCCACCCCGGCACGTTTGTGTAGGGTCCTGGGGCACGACGAGCCTGTCAAAGCCGCGGTGCTGCTCGCTACGAGGATCTATCCCTGGCTTTATTTTCGCAAGGCCGTGGAGCAGCGGCCCCAGGCCCCCGCTCTGCCGGGGGTCGCCCGGCCCTAGCCTCCCCCCCCCCCCCGCCGTGACGTCACCGGGCCGGCTTGCGGGGGCATTGCTACCCCCGGGCTGCCTCGATTAGCCACTGCCGGCGGGGAAATTATATATATATGTGTGTGTGTGTATATATGTATATATAGTTCTATGCTGCAAGAGGGAGAAGTGGGGGGATGCTTTACAGAAACGTCCATCGAGCGAGTTAATTAATCAAAAAATTTAATGGATCCATTTTGTACAACTCGGTAACAAATAATAGCTTATTTATATATATTTCTTTTAAAAAAAACACACTCACACAGAAAATAGTGGGCAAACAGAACACTCCAGCACGAGATACTGTTGACAGGAGGAAGTCTGTACAGCTACAAATGTGTGTGAAACTGCTTTGTTTTTTGGAGTAGGAGGGGGAAGGGGAAGGGGAAGGGGAAGGGGAAGGGGAAGGGGAAGGGAAGGGGAAGGGGAAGGGGAAGGGGAAGGGGAAGGGGAAGGGGAAGGGGAAGGGGAAGGGGAAGGGGAAGGGGAAGGGGAAGGGGAAGGGGAAGGGAAGGGGAAGGGGAAGGGGAAGGGGAAGGGGAAGGGGAAGGGGAAGGGGAAGGGAAGGGGAAGGGAAGGGGAAGGGGAAGGGGAAGGGGAAGGGGAAGGGGAAGGGAAGGGGACGGGGAAGGGGAAGGGGAAGGGGAAGGGAAGGGAAGGGAAGGGAAGGGAAGGGAAGGGAAGGGAAGGGAAGGGAAGGGAAGGGAAGGGAAGGGAAGGGAAGGGAAGGGAAGGGAAGGGAAGGGAAGGGAAGGGAAGGGAAGGGAAGGGAAGGGAAGGGAAGGGAAGGGAAGGGAAGGGAAGGGAAGGGAAGGGAAGGGAAGGGAAGGGAAGGGAAGGGAAGGGAAGGGAAGGGAAGGAAGGGAAGGGACTCTGGGGACTTGTAAACAGACTGGAGCGAGGTGGTCAGAGGCGGGGCTTGTGGGGCGGAGGGGGGAAGGAGGCAGCAGCCCTCTGGGGCACGGAAGCAGGGGCTCAGGTCTCTGCCTCCCCAGGGACGAACTCCCGCCGCGGCTCCTCTCCTCCTCTCCCGCTCGATCTCCCCGTGCCCCGCAGCCGCGCTCCCTGTCCCCAGCCCGCCGTGGGCCGCCCTCCGCCGCCTTCCGGCCCTAGCAGCAGGGTCGGGGCTGCCCGTCGGGGCGCGGCGGCGGGGGGGGCAGCGAAGGGCCCGGGAGGGCCGGGAGGGCCACGGGGCCCCGCGCCCTGACACACGTACCATTCACTCAGGTTGGCGGCGGGCAGCGCGGGCGCGGAGGGCTCGGCGTGGGAACACGAGGCGGGGGGTTCCCGGCCGGAGTCCGAGGAGGGGGACACCAAGGAGGGCGTGGAGGACTCGTAGCCGGAGCTCGGAGGAGGGGATTTGCAGTGCACTTTCATGTGTTTTCTCAGGGAGCTGGGGTGGGTGTAGGACTTGTCACAGCCTCTCACTTTGCAGTTGTAGGGTTTGTCGCTGGTGTGGACGTGCGAGTGCTTCTTCCTGTCACTGCTGTTGGCGAAGCGTCTGTCGCAGCCCTCGAATTCGCATTTGAACGGCTTCTCCCCTGCAGGAGGCAACGGGCGAGCACAGCCGTTAGTAAGGGGGCTGCGGGGCACCCCTGACCCTGCCTTCCCTCTCTCTGGCCCTAGGCACGTCTCCCCCCCGGGGCTGCTCCCCCCCGGCCCATCCCCGCCGAGCTGCCCCGGCCGCCGTCCCCAGCCCTCCCGGCTGCGCCGCTGGCTCCGCCGTGGGAGCACCCTGCCCGGCCAGCTCCAAGACACTCCTTCTCCTGCTCTCCGTGTCGCCGTGGGGTTTTGTGAAAAAGACAAAGCCCCGAGATAAGGAAAATTTAGAGGCCAAGTGCTCTGTCCAGGTAAACAATGAGCGCCGTCCCTGCGGGCTCTAGTGTCACGCAGAAGGAGCGGTCAGTGACTTATCCCTGGGAATGTTTCTACGTTAAACACATTTCTCACACTCCCGGAGGTGTACGTGGAAATACTATTTCCATACATACACCACCTCGCTAGATCGCATCTCCTTCACTCTTCTCTCACGCTAATTACAATCCCGGGGAAGACCTGCATCCCCCTGGTCTTCCCCGCTGCCCGACTTGCTGATGCCGTGCGTTAAAGCCCCAAATGTTGCTAAAAGACAGCGATGGTAGTGGGCAAAACGGTAGGGATTCGGCTGGAGGATGACTAGGCCAGTGCACGGTTCTGTCGGGGGGGTAGGATGCTCTTTTCATTTGAACCTGTTCAGTCATGGAAGGAATTGCAATCGGGATTAATTTGTCGGGTAATATGATAAGTGACGTTAAGCATAATAGAAATATAATCGTGTTGCCAGAGCCGTGTGCGAGTTTAACCTCGGATGGCATGGACAGGGCATGGTACACGATATAGAGGAGGCTTTCAAGGAAACGTGCCACAGACAGCTTCAGGATGCAGTGATGAGTACGTTATTGTCCCTGATAACAGCAAACTGCAAAAGCTTGCTTGCCAAGGAGCACGCAGATCCTGCAGCATCCGAGTATGAAAATAAACTTCTCATTCATCCAAAGCCCAAAAGTATCGGGGAGCAGAGGACACCACAAAATATACAGCCGAACCTTAAAGGTGAAGAGCAAACAAAGCCACTGTGCTCACCATCATGGCGTATATGGTGGAAAGGTCTTTGAACATGTATAAAAGCTTCGAGGTTTTGTGTTCTAATTTGTTGCCCCCCACCCCCGATCGTCACGATTAAATTTTGGAGGGACGCAGCCCACCTCTCGCTCGGCTCTGAACACGGGCACATAAAGGAAGGCATTCCAAATATTTCACATGAATGCACTTTATGCAAGATGTGTGGGAAAAAGCTCATGGCTTCGCGTTTAAAGTATGTCCTTTCCATTGTAATAATCAATGCCGATCTCTCACACCGTGCAACGCTAACATTTGCACAGAGGATTGGTAAACACCTGTCATTAGAGAGAAGGGGGGGGAGAGGTTAAAAATAAGGTCTCTTAGAAAATGATGCGAGTTGTAACCAAATACTGTCCCTATACACTGGTGTATATGCATAGGCACAAGCACGCATATAATCTAATTACAGCTCCACGTAAGGAAACAATTTGACCTTCAGCATCTAAGTTGAGACAACAAATCAAGGATATTAGTGTAGTACAAGCAAGCAGTAAGTTAGGAGACCCCAGGGAAAGCCATCCTCATAAGCACTCCGGCTGTGCAAAGTGAGTTGCATTCAGGTAAAAGCGGGCTGCGGCGCGTTCTCCTTTCTCCTGAGTTGAAAAATGTGAAACTTGGCTTAACCCCGTGAGAGAGCCTCCGAAAAGCCCCTCCGTGCGCTCGGATAGCGACGGGGAAGAGGGGAACGTTTTCGCAGCCGCCTGCTCTGCATTCTCGGAACGCCTCGCTAAAGAGGAGCCAGCCGAGCCGTTTGCAAGTACGCGAGAGAGGCTTTTTCAAGTTTCGCGAGAGAGGCTTTTTCTTATGTGGAAATCCCTACCCGCGAGGGAGAGGCCACGTTAAAGCCCGGGCACCGAGGTGCGGCGATGCAGCCACGCAGAAAGTTCCCCGGGCGATGGAAGGAGCGCAGGAGCCCAACCCCGCCATTTTAACCCCACACTTGTAGCTGGTGCCAAAGCGGTCGGTGCAATTCGGCTGCGAAACCGGGGCATAATTCCCCGGCTCCGGGAGTGTATTAAGGTATTTACCAACTTCTCCGGGAGGTGGGAGGCCGGCTGTGGCGGCCCCGGGGCTGCGGGCGAGGCGCGGGGGGCGGCCTGGAGGGGGAGGGCTGCGGCCCCCGCCTCGCCCCATTGTTCCCGGCCCCGCCGGAAAGGCGCAAGGGGGGGGGCGGTCGCGCCCCCCGGCCCGCTGCCGGCTTCGGGGACAGCCCCGAGCGGGGAGAGAGAGCTCGGCCGTCGTCTGCAAGTCTTTAGCCTGCTCCCCGGCCTGGGAGAAATCCGAAGTCATGAATATTTGAGGAGGCAATAATTTTCCTGTTGAATCTAGGACTGTCTTCATGAATAATTTGTAGCGAGTTCTATTAGGGTTTCAGAAACATTTCGCTTTTGACAACTTCTGGGTGTTTAATAGAAACGGTGGAACCATAAAGGCCCTGCAGGAGTTTTCACAATACAGCAATTAATCACCGGGAAAGTTAAAGTGAAAAGTACAGACGCACGGAATTATGTTTAATAAACGCAAGGCTCCGATCTCGGGTTTGCCCTGAACCTGCCTCTCCGATGTAGGTCACTTTCCCCAAGAATTTCACCATTTTCTGCTTCAGAGACTTCAAACAGTGAGGCCGTTAAAGAGCAGTAAAAGTTTGTTTACTTAAGAAAAACACTGTCATTAAGGGATGAGCTCTCCCGGTTAACGGCTGTACCTGTTCTGATCCGCCTAGGAGATGGCTCGGATACAAATTATGTGACCCGGGGATACTCCTTTCTTCTCGAAAAAGGAGCCGAGAAGCCAGCAGAGGAACCCAACTTCGCTGTTGCCCCCCCCCCCTCCGCACAGATCAGCTACTCACAGAGCGATGGAAAAATAATTAGGTGACGAGTGATGCTTGCTGTAAAATCTCCGTGCTATGCTTAGACGATAGCGATACGAAATTAGTATATATGTCATGCATATTATACCACGTCGTGTTATAGCATAAAAATGCAACTCCTCGAAGGTCAAACCGCACCGAGCATGGGGGAAGGGGAGTTTTATGAACTGGAGGGCGAAAAAAATCGTTTGGCTGTAAGCAGATCTTACAATAGGATTATGTAGTTCCCCTCGCAGTGCATAAGGCTGTACAGGAGGGGGTGGGAGGTGGAAAACCCTACACTGGAACAGATTACATTTTCCAAAAGGGACTTATTTATCTTCTTCCTCAGATTAAAAAAAAAAAAAAAAAAAAAAAAAAAAAGCCAGCGCTACAGACTACAAACACCGTCTGCTAAACAACTAATTAATACAACTTCACAAGCTGCATCTGGAAGTGTGACAACTTTCTACGTGTAATTTCATTATTTCATTAATTATAAATGCTTTCCTGCCCGTAAGAGTTCAAACATAGTTTTGCGAGATCGTCCAGTGATTTATTTTATTTTCTCTTAGCTAGACTACCAGACATTTCTCACACACGTCCCAATTTCACTTCACATATCTGCAAATGACATTTCAAAACGTACAGGCCGAAACAATACCGGGTTTTCTTCTCCTCTTTTTCCCTCCCGAGAATCAGAACTTGCAACTCTCCGTATCTGCGAACGCACGGAGTCCCCGGCTGGCGATGCTCATTAAAAATGTCAGTGTTATTCAGATCAAACATTTGAAACCTCCTCTGACCAAAACAAAACTGTTGAACGAAAAGGTCGCAGCTGTGTTATTCTCACAATGTTAGAGCAGCAACATCTCAGCGACATCAGTCAAAACTGACTAGACAAGTTGTAACTCCTATTGTTCACATTTAATTTGTGAGCTTACACAATGATTTCATTTTTTTTCCCCAACTACTTTAAACTGAAAAAAAAAAATCCTCGCCTGCGTGAAGAAACAGAAATTGTAGCTATATCACTTGTTATTTTCACAGATCTACCCGCATACACGGTACAGCACTCTCCGCACAAGCAGCAAAAATATGGACAAGAATTCAATAATTCTGAGATTTGTTCTCGCTCACCTCCCCCCCACCCCACTTTTTTTTTTTTCCATTTCTCCCCCCTCCTTCCAAACGGTAAAGAAGCAAACAAATCTGAGAATTTATTTTCCACAAGTACTTGGCATGCATTCAATAACAACGCAAAGGATACATTAAAACAAAATAAAGCAAAACCGTATGCTGAATAACACACAGAGACAGTAAAGAGAGCTTTACATACTGACCTGTATGAGTTCTTTTGTGTATTTTGAGATTCTCTGATCTGGCAAACACTTTGCCACAGCCTGGGAAAGGGCAGGGGAAAGGTTTTTCACCTGTGTGGACTCTGATGTGATTTACAAGTTTGTATTTGGCCTTGAAAGGCTTCCCTTCTCTTGGACACTCTTCCCAGAAACATATGTGATTGGACTGCTCGGGTCCTCCAA